GTATCTATGTGCTGAATCAAAAGTAAAACTTCTTTATTTCTAACTTTTCCAAAATTAAACTTTTACTAATATATTTGTGATGTTAGATTTACTTATTGATATGTATTTAATTATCATTTACTCAGTAAGCAAATATGCTCTAAATTATATCGTGCTTGGTCTTATCTGAATGAGAAAAGTGTGACAAATATGTTGGTAAATGATTTCATTTACTACAATCAATCACAAATAAAAAGAATTTGATTTACGAGTTGAGGGTCTCAGCATGTGGGAAGTTTTTAATGTTTGCGTAATGTACGCGTAGTATAGGTGCTCACATAAACGTTGCACTTCATACTACCATTTATTTACTTACAATGTAACCATTCCTTAGACTATGAACTTACAAACTAGTATAGGGAGGCCCGATATTGTACTATGGATCGCTGACATTTTAGGAGGGAGAAGAAAGAGAATAAACGTATGAGATATATAATTACGTATATATGATTACACAATTGCAGGGAACATTTTCTTAATTTAACTGTGTTTGTATAACGTCAATTCACATCAGAGACCAGGCCACACACCGCGGGCAGGATGGCGCCCAGATGTCTGCACATCCATGACGCGTGCCCTCAGTAGTCCTAAGTACCCACCAGGGGTCTTGGAATTTTCATAGTTAAGGTCCTTCAGGCCAAGCGAGTATCTCTTGTCTTAGATTTCCTTTTACGTTTATTGTTTACTACGGGTTAACAGGGAAAGTAGGTTTTCCTCGCGTCTGGTATGTTGCGTTAGCAACTATCTCACGAGGGCGGCTAAAACCCTTCCTCGTCCACCAACCGTCTTATTATCCAATCGGAGAAAGATGTCTACTACCCTCACTTCCTTAACCAAAATTATCATCAACAAGTCCGATAGTCCCGTGTCCTTAGACACACCCATCCCTAGCTTTCCCCAGACACAGTATCGTCCGTAAAACTTCACTTATTCCGTATCCTTAGAATAGTCAACATATCTTTACCGGTCTCTATCCTTATAACAGTCGCGTACTTAACGTATCAGTGTAACTAGGTTTTACATAAGGTGATTGGAGTGAATTGTGATTTGTGTGTGTTAATTCAGTGCGTATTTCATTGCGATTGCTGAATTCATAATAAAGATTAATGAAAACAAAATTAATAGTTGTGTTACGACTCAGCTATTTTATTTTATCGTCTAACCCTCAAGTTTACGTGACATTTGCATTGTTCTTTTGTGGTCTTTGCTTACAATCTTTGGTTCATTTACTAACTAAACATACGATTTTCTTATTGCTATAATTTAATTTTCTACGGTGGTTAGCTGCCAATATTTATCTTTATTGTCTTTGAGTGTCTCACTTAAATCTACGGTTGACAATTTATACATAAGTCTTATATTGCTATCCTTATGGTCTATGTCGCTATCGTACAGTATTTTTTATTATTACGTTTCTGCTGTAGTGATAGATTAATGCTAAGTTATTATTGTTTTGGATTAATTTTACGCTATCTAAGCAGGTGAAGGATTCCGGGGGGAAATAATCTGTTTTTTGAACGTGTTTATGGTATAACGGGTTTGACTATAGATTGTGGGCGACGATGAAGTTTATGATTATTTTGTGTATCTTTGACCAGTGGTCTGACTAATTTAAGAATGATGAATCGATGTGGATTAATTTGGGCTCTTCGTATAGCTTGTGATTTGCTATATTTGCTAAATTTCGATTCTGGCAATCTATATATTCCTAAACATGCTGTGATGTATTTTCTTTCAATGATTCTTAATTTTTCCGTGGCGTTGACACTTACATTGAAACAGATTTAACGACTATACATTAGAATGGTTGGTCTAATTAGTGTTTTGTAGCAGTGAAGTTTTATTGATCTGTGCGAATCTTTCGAGTAAGGTAGTCTTATGAGGTATAAGAAGAATTTATCTGCTTTCTATAACTGTGTCTTTATGTTGTCGTTGTGATTTAACCCGAAGTTTAGATGGACTCCGAAGCATTTAACTTTGTTTGCATCGGAAAATTCTTCGTTGATATTTTCTGTTGTATGGAAGAATATTTTCGAATTTATTCTCACGTCGTACTTTGCTTTTGAAGTTTTTGAAATATATGGACTGAACGAGATTGTTTCACATTTATGGGTGTAGATTTTTAGCTTCCGTGTTGGAAAGCGTAATTTTCTACTTTCTTGACTAGGTCTTGCACCTGGATTTTTATTTGTCACGGTTTATTGTTTCTGATGTAATTAACATATCATTTACGAATGCTATTGCTGATTTATTATTTTGATTGCCGTTCTTGTTCATGCCATACATTTATAATAGGACACTAAACATGGATATTGAACAGGATAGGCCGGTTTACCGTGTCTTACTGTAGATCTCGATGCGTTTGGTCCTTTTGCTTGATCCCTCTGAGAGGTAGAAGTATCTATCATTTTCTTTTTAATTTTTCCTTTATTAAACGTTCTTATTTGTTTCTACAAATACTTACATTTTTGTATCATTTGCTAATTACTATAGCATGGGGATTTCTGTGCTATTACCCATAATAAAAAAAACAAAATAAAATAAGGAAGGTTTTTAACGTTTTAATTAGAATGTATTATTATGTATTGTTGAATGTGTTATTATTATTATTATTATTATTATTTAGTCCGTGTCTTTCGGCTTTGGACGAGCTTTCGGTTTTACATCTCGTTTACCTATTACGCTTTTTACATTCTATCAGTCTTATGGCGTTATCACCTCATTGCCTCCTCTCGTATATCTACCTAAACTCTTTTCCTTGTCTATCTCTTTTATCTTATATATCTACCTCCCCTCTTATCAATTCTATTTTATTGCACTCCATTATATGTTCTGTCTCTAAAACTATGGCAGCTTTTGGGCTCTTGCCTCCTTGCTGTGCTTCCTTATTGTCGTTCTTTTTTTTTATTGTCTCCCCGTCTTGTATTGCCCTTCTCTCCTCCATTATTGTTTTCAATTCTATTAGTCCTTCTCCAGTCTCGTTTAGTATTTTTCTGTGTCCCTTGGTTCTCCTGTTATTTCTCATTCTTCTATTACGTGTCTCAGGTCTTCTTCTTTCTTTTTACATAGCTTGCATCTTTTTTCTCCCTCTTCTTTCCAGTATTCCCTTGATTTAGTCTCGTTTCCACATCTGAATCTTGCTAATATTTTTCTGTCCTTCCACTTCATCCTCCCTTCTAAGTATTTGGTAACTCTTCTTTGGCGATTTTTCTATAATGTTTGTCATATTTTGATTCCCTTATCCTTTCCCCCCTCTCTTCTGCTTCTCTCTTTCTCCTTTCTTCTATAATTTGGTCTAGTGTCATCTTTTCTTGCTCTTCTCTTACTTCCATCTGTGTCCCTCCATTTCTCATCTCTTCTAGTCCCTTCTTTCTCTTTCTTGCTCTTTACGCTTCTTGGCCATTTCCCCAGTTTCTCCCTCTTTCCTTTATGCACTCCTTTACTAGTTCCTTTTTTGACTCTATGGCTTTCTCTTCATACCTTGCTGCTCTTCCTAATGCTTTTTCTTTGATTTCTGTTAGCTTACATTCTTCTATCAATATATAATTCGGTGTTGTCATATCTAAACCTAAGGTCCATTTCACACATCTTCTTTGTATTCTATCCAGCCTTTCTTCCATGTTCCAGCCCCATACCTATGCTCCAAACAGCGCCACGCTCCCTACCAGCGTTTCAAACATCTTCATTCTCCTCTTGTAGTCCTGTTTGGAAATTCTTTCTTCCACGCTCCATATTTTCTTCATTGCTATTGTTGCTCTCTTTTTCCTGTCTTGTATGTATTTCTCATTACTGCCGTTTTTTAGTAGTATGTACCCTAGGTATCTTATCTCGTCCACTTCTTCTAATTCTCGCTCTCCCCATTTCCATTTTCTTTGTCTCCTCTTGTTCTTTCTTTTTTTCGAAAACTACACTCTTGGCCTTTTCCGTGCTCAGTTCCAATTTGGTTTCCTTTAAAAATTTTTCGAATCTCTTTAGCATTTCCTTTAGCCCCTCCTCTCTATCAGCCATCAACACAATATCGTTTGCATATGTCAATGACCATACCTTCCTTTCTCCTACCACTATACCCCCCCCCCCGACTTGTCCTTTCCTTAATTCTTCTTCCAGCTCCGCCACGTAGATGCTGAATAACGTCGGGCTCAACGGGCATCTTTGTCTGACTCCCCTCACTGTCTAAAATTCTTTTGTGTTATTATCCTTGATTCTCACCACATTCTTTGTTTCTGCATATATCTTTTTAATCCTTCGGGTTAGTTATTCGTTAATCCCCATTTTTCTCATTTTCTCCTCCAATTTCTGTCGAACGCCGCTTTTAAGTCCGCAAAGCAGGCATATGGTATAGTTTCTCTTTTTCTCTACTCAACTGTTTGTCTATGATATGGTTTATCACAAATACCGCGTCTTCCTTTTCTGAATCCGAATTTGCCCTCTTTCAGTTTGTTTTCAATGTCTGCCTTCAATCGTTCGTGCAGTATCCCTGCACAGATCTTGTATGCTGTATCCATTAATGTTACTTTTCTGTAGCCCTTCCCTGCTCTCTTGTCCCTCTTTTTATATATCGGACATATTTGCTCCTTTTTTCCAATCTTCTGGTATCCCCACCTCATTCCATATTTTCCTTAACAGAGCCCATAACGCTTCACCCACTTCCTTCGGTGCATACTTCCATAATTCATTTTCTAACCCGCCTTCCCCCATTGCTTTCTTCTCCTTCAAGTTTCTTAGTTTGTATATCACCTCTTCCTTCTCTATATATTATCTTCTCTCTCCTCCATTATTTTCTCTTCTGCTCGATGCTCCTCTTTTTTCCTGCCCTCTTTGTGCTCTGTTTCTTCTAAAATTTCCATAAAATGATTTTTCCACTCTTCCTCGCTTATTTCTTCATCTATATTCTTCCCTTCTTCTTCTGTATTTATTTATGTACTTCCACGCTTCTTGTTCTGTTTTGATCTTCTTGATTTTCACCATTTCTTCTTCTTCGTATCTTTCCTTTCTTTGTTTGCACCTCTATTTGAATGCCTTTTTTCCTCCATAAGAGCTTCTCTACTGTATTTTCCTTTCATAAACTTTGTCACCTTCCTTCTCATCTCTCTTTTACTCTCTTTTTCTCTCTTTCCACTCCTTATCTTTACTTTCTTCTTTGGCATTGCTTCGTTTATCTTCTTGTTGATTTCTGTCCACATTTCCGCTACTGTTCTTCCGTTGCAGGTCCAGTCTTTACATTCGTCCAAGTATTTTTCCATGCTTTTGTTTGTCCATTCCCTTTTCTCCTTCCCTTCTTCTTCTTCCTTTTTCTCATTTTTTTTTTGTAATTCCGCCCCCCCCCCTATTTCTATTTCTAACAGCATGTGGTCTGACTCTGTTCATTTTCCTACTTTCATGTCAATTATTTCTTCTGTCGCCTCCTGATTGCCAATCACATAGTCTATTACTGAGTTTCCTCTTTCGCCAATATAGGTCCGCTCCTCTCCTTCTTTATCGCTGCCATTGATTATCTCATCCAGATACTTTAGCAGTGTTCTTCCTTCCATATTTATTGTCTTATCTTTTGATCGTCTGTTTTTTTCTTTCCCTAGGTCCTCGTTTGTCGGCCCTCCCTCTTCTCCCGTTCTTGCGTTCCAGTCTCCGCCGATGATCACCACTTCCTCTTCTCTTCCGTCTACTCTTTCCTCTATTTTTTTCCATGTCCCTTATGTATCTTGATTATAAACCATCATTATCCTATACGTCTTGTAATTGTATATTATTTTTCTCCCAACTATATTATCACTAATTCCTTTATATCCTATTTCTCTTAGGTTTTTATTTATACCCGTTGTTATTCTTCCCTTTGCTCTTCTTTTTTTCCTTACTGTCATTGCTGCCCTGCATTTCCAGTCGAATTCTTTGGGTAGTCTATATTTTAACTTTTCTCTTTTGTCCTTACTTATTAGCCCTGCTACATTTCAGAAGCACGTTTTCATCCCCATTGTAGTCCCCCCCTCCTGTGTAGTCCTCACTCTTTTTCCTCTTTTTTCATTTTCCTTCCACTCTCTTTCTTTCTTGCTCCAGCTTATCTTCGTTTTCGTTCCACCTGTACCATTTGTTTTCTATTGTTAGTTTCTTGTATCCTGTCCTTACATATTCGCCCTTTTCCATTCTTTCTCTGGCTACCCTTCTTATGTGTTGCTTCCCATCCCTTTCTTTTTTTGTCAGATCATCGTCCATGTATACACCCTTTCCCATTTGTTTTTTTCTTTCATTATCCTTATTTTTTCCTCCATTGATTTCATCGTTGCCACTATTATTGTGTTCTTTCTCCCCCCCCCCCACCTTTGTTCTTTCCCCCCCCCCCCACCTTTATCATATGTGCTTTTTCTACTTCTGCCCCTATCCTCATTTTTTCGTTTATGAACTCCTTTACTGTCTCTTCATTGCTTCCTTCATTCCAGTCCACTCCCTTGATTACTATGTTTCTTCTTCTTTCCTCTCTCTCTGCCATGCCCTGATCCTCTCCAATTCTTCTGATTCTACCCAATAATTCTTTCTTTTCCCATTCCCACTCTCCTTTCTCTCTGTCTGTCTCTCTTTCCTTTCTTTCCCTTTCCTCTTTCATTCCTCTCTTCAGCTCCTCCACTTGCTTTTCCAATATATATCTTTTATTTCCTCGATCATTGCCTCAAATCCTCTTTCCATTTTCTCTATTTTTTCCACCACTGCCTCCATTACTTTCTCTCTGGCTGGTGTCTCTTTTTCTGTCGAGCTGTATTTGTCCAGTGTATTTTTGAAGACTGCTTTACCAGTACTCCTTGGTCTTCCCCTGTTTGTCGCCATTTGCCGTTTCCCTACCTTACTTTGTTTTGCCGCGCTTCTAGCCTCCTAACCTCTTCTTTTCTAGTTTTTCTTATTTGTAGCTTTCTCTCGTTCTTGTCTCCTTTTTCGCTTTTCTTTTGCCTTCTCCTCGTATGCTCACTCTTTATTTTCCCTTCTTCATGCCTCTTTATGCTTCCTTTTCCTTTTTTCCTTCACACTTCACTTTTTCCACAGAGTTCTCCGTCCGTGTGTTACCCTCGCCCCGAACCGAACCGAAAGCCCAAGTAAGGATTACTATTTTTGGCAAGCGAGTTTATGTAATTGTCCATTTTATCGTGATATGCTTTGGAAAATTTTGTGTGCGCTTAGTATCGATGTTAGTATAGTTGATTGGAAGGTTTCTGTTTTCTTCATATTTGATTTGGCAACCATGCCCCATTTTTGTAGTTCATAAGACCAGGCTGCATATGTCTGATTTAGATTTTCTTGCTACGAGCTACATGGAATGTCTGATTAGATGTAAGTGTTTAGTTTTTTCTTGTATGTGTTTCTTCCAGTTCAACTTATGACCCAGATGTAACTCCAGATGTATTTAACGAAAGTTGTCTGTTGGATTTCCTGATTTAACAATTTGTTTGAGTTTGGATCTAAGATAAGGTCACTGCAGCAGTGGCTTAATGCGTCAACATGTGACATTTTCACATTCAATTTTGTAAGATCACCCATTGCGCAATGCGTGGGTCGACTGTTTGTTTGCTTAACATGAGACGCGAACTATCGTAATGGGTAACGATCTTAAAATGAATCCCATAAATATAAATATGGAACCTATTGATGGCATGAATAACGGCTAAACGTTCCAGCTCGAAGCTGCAATATTTTGACTCTACGATAGTGGTTCGTTTACTAAAATAAAATATAAGTCGAAAGAAACCGTCCGTTTGTTTTTTAATTAATACCGCGCCAAAATCACTTGCGATGGCATCACAATGCAACTCTGTTTTAAAATCGGGGAATAGATAATCAAAACCGGTTCATCAGCTAATTTACCTTTTTAAACACGTAAAGGCCGTATTTTCTTTCGCGCCAAACTGGAAATTCGCATCGTTTCTTAGTAATTCATATAGGGATTTCGTTAAAATAGAAAAATTTGGAATAAAATACCTAAAATAGCTTGCAGGGTTCACAAAATGCAGTACGTCTTTCGCCGTTCGTGGCAGTGAATAGTCTCGGACAGATTCAATGCCGTCTCGACTGGAACGAATACTAGATTCATTAAAATTAGTTAGCCAAGATATGTAACTTCGCGGTATAAAAAAAGAAAATCTGTCTAAATGGAATTGTAAATCGTTTTATACAGCTAAATGAAAAATTTCTTCAAACATTCAAAGAATCAAAATATGTTCTTTAAGCGTTTCTGTAGCGACTAAAATATCATCTAAATATAATACGACTTTATTCTTTTTACCGAGATTGGTAAATACAAAATTAATATATCATTGAAAAACACGCGAGGCATTAGTAAGCTCTAAAGGCAATTTCAGGTGTGCGAACTGTACAAAAGATGTATATTTAATAGATGATTTTGAAACCCTTACGTGATGAAAACCATTCTTTATGTAGTTTCGACCAATCGCGGGGAGACGTAATCGCGAGGAGAGACGTCAACGGGAGTCGTAAATTCCCGTTACGATTATAGTAGTCGACACCACGAATTGATCGATCCTTTGAGATAATAGGGGTGATTCAGTTTGTATAACACTGTGATTCACAGAATTATATGTTATATATTTCCAACACTTAGATTACACTGTTGAGCATAGATAAATAGATAACCACTTATCGCACGAAGATAAGATAGATGTGTACGTTAGAGCAGGGCTCTTATAATTGGATTTAGTGCATTAGTGGACGTAGCACTATAATATATTTAGTAAAGGAGATGTATGTTCGACAATACCGAGAACCGACTAAAATAGTTTACGTGAATTACGCTACTCTAGCGTTATGCTTAGACTGCCACGTTAGGCGTTAGCGTTAAACTGACTAGTTGACTTGACTCTCCCGATGTCGTAAGAGAACGAGGTGACTTTTCCAACGGTGTAGAAGAAGTGAAGTTGAATGACGATGCTGTGTTGGAGGAAAGCTAGTGATGGGTGTGTCTAGCGCACGGGACCATCGGATTTGTTGGTGACGATTTTGGCTAAGAGAGTGAGGGAAATAGGCTTCGTTGTTAATTGGTTAAACGAAGGTTGGCGGATTAAGAAGGGTCTTAGCTGCCCTCGATAGAAAGTTGTTATTAGGAAGCATCGTACGTGGAAAAACCCAACTCTCCCTTGGCAAGCCGTGGTAGACAACAGCCTAAAAGTGATTGAGAAAAATACATTTGTTGAGTCGGAAGGACCTTAGAAAGCAAATTACTCGGATTTATGACGGGTGCTTAAGGCTATTGAGAGTACGTCGTAAGGATGAGCGGACATCTGGTGTCGGTCTGGTCCGCGGTGTATGACCTGGGCCAGGTAGAGAGTCGCCCGGCGTAACACTTTAAATTAAGTTTAGTGAAATATTTTTTACTGCGCAACCGATCCAAGCAGTCGTTGACAAAAGGCACCGGAAATATTTAAAGATGTTTTCTTTTTTTTTTTTTAAGATGTTTATTAAACCCAAGACACAATTTTAAATACATTTTGGTATTCACAATAAACGGTGAATTTATGTAATGATATCTTAGGCAAAAGTACCGATACGCAACGGTACGACGTAGCCATGATATAATATGTGTCGGCGCTTTACATTTTTCGTGTTTAATATAATTTTTGGGTTTAAGCCGCTGGGGCTGCTATGGGGGAGCGGAGCTTGATTTACATTTTACACCTGTGTTATGCGGTGTCAGAATTGAGTTCTGTTGGTTTAATGTTTTTTCTTATTTTGTTATGGGTTCTGTATTCACCAGTATTTTTTTGTGTTTTTTCTATGTTTGTCTTTGGTGTCTTTCCGGGGGAGGGCCATGTTGTATCTCCACCTAGTGTCTGCGGTCTGTCCATTTATGTTTTCTTCGTAAAGTATGGTTTTGATCCCTGTTTTTCTTTTTATGTGATATATTATTGGGATGTTGTTTTGGTCCTGGTGGTAGTCTTTTTCGTCTAGGTATAAGAAGGCTTCTGGGGGGATAATAGGAAGGCTTCTGGGGGATGTGGCCTGTTGTCAGAGTGTTTTTTTAATATGCGTTGTTAGGAAATAGGCAGCTGAAAATTAAGCTGTTTTCTTTTATATTTGCCGCTTGCGCGAAGTGGTTTCTTATTAGCTTTAGGTTGTGACAGTCGATGCGGTGAATGTTGGCTAGGTCGTATATTGTTTTGTTTTTTACATATTTTTTGAATCCGCTGTGTTCGGATCTGTATGTGCTCAGGCAAGCCCTGATGCATTTTCTTTCGAATATGCGCATCTTTGATTTTTTCTATCTGGGAGGCTGATATGATGTTGTACCAGATTGGGCAGCCGTAGGTAATGATCGGTCTGACTAGTGCTTGGTAGCATAGTATTTTTACTTTGCTGT